TTAAATGTTATTGTAAATCTAGAGAACTGAAAAGGAGGAGAAAGGTAACTACTTATCATTTATGTAGAATACATTTTTATTACTAAAAGTAACAGCTATAACAAAGAGGATGAAAGTTTTTATTTCTCCTCTCCACAGTAATGCATCCTGAACATAAGAACTCTGCTGTCACCTTCAAAAGTCTGAACTGTGCATGAAGCAGCACTACACAGAACCAATCAAGCACAGCTTGCCAAGCCCCTTCCTACTGGAGTTATTATTCCACTACCAGCTATTTTTAGAAGTGGAAAATTAAGTGAACTTCTAGTGAGATTTGAGGATGGAGGTCCTTGTCCTGTCACCATCAAAGTCAGTGGGAGTTTTTGCTATTGATTTAAAGGGGAGTAGCTTCAGGACTCAAAGACTGTGATGAATAATCTCTTCTATTAACAAAACCTTTGATAGGAAAAATGATTTCTGGATCAAAGAGAAAGCTTGGTGGTATTCTGAATGTCAGGAAAACTGCTGTATCTCTAAAATTTAACACATTATTTTTCAATCCTATGAAATAGTATTTTTTCTAAATTAATTATGATGATGGGGAATAAACAAAGTCTCTTAGCCTAATGTAAATCCATCATCTCTGCATTACTGGTGAGTGTATTGAAGTCTAAGTGAAGAAGATAGTAATCAATACCCTAACCGCTTTACAGCCAGTTATTCAGAAATTAATTATAGTCATGCTCTTTCACTAGCCAGGAATACAAGAGTTTAATATAAAATTCACATGGATAGGAAAGCAAAGAACTGCTATACATTTTAAGAAATATTCACTAACTAAAAATCTGCCAAGGATTTGTCATCATTATAGATCAGAGCTGAACTTACCTTTTACCCTGAGATACATGAAAAGAAGATCAGATCAACTTAAAGGGGCATATTTTTTTAGTATAATGAACTAAAGATCAATTCAGTAAAAATTCAGGAGCTTCTAGGACCTCCAAGTGCTTCCAAGGATTTCTGGTGCAATACAGTGCACAGAAAATGATATGTAGGTTGAAAACAGGCCAGTTCTGTAGGAAGAAGGCCCTTCATCATGTTTAAGGGCTGCATCCTCTGAAATGCTGAAAGCCTCTATTCCTATTAAGGCCAGCTGAATTTGAGACTTCTTGGCACATCACAGGTTCAAGCCCTGGGGCTGAGATGTGCAAAGCTTTTTTTATACTACTCTGGCAGTGTAAATATGCTTTAGGGCATGTCTACATTGTAAGCTTAACTCACCAGGCAGTGCAGCACTCAAACACTGCCGCCTCCTAAACTGGAAGCCCTGTAGCCAAAGTAACATGGCACTTTAGGCAGGTAGCTTGCTTAGACCTAGCATCTTATTTCTATATGGTCCTACATTGTACTATGTAGACATACCATAAGTTTAACTAGTGTTGCTGAGTACCAGATCCAAGTAGGTCTCTAGCAGCACCACACTGATATAACTATACTAAAGAAAGTGTGTTTGAGGGTGCCACCGGTAGATGTGATTTTAAAGGTGCTGCATTGCTGTCATGTCTGGAAAAAGCATTGTTTAATAAGAAAATAATTCTGCAAAGTTTCTAAATCATATATTCAACAAGAGAAATATGTAATCCAATTTACAGTAATTGATCTATTGTCCTCATTAATACTCTGGACACTAAGGGTATCTCTATACATCATAATTCAGTGCTGTATACCGATACTGTGACTTAGCTAGCTTTGGTATCAGAAGCAGTAGAACTATGTGAGCTTTACTTTCTGCCTGGCTGGATTTATGCAGCTATGAAAGCAGGCTTAATTAGCCCAGGCACCAACATAATTATACTGCTTCTGGGACTCAAGCTAATTTCACTCTTTCTATATGGCATTACATTGTACTCTGTACAAATAGCCTAGGCTTAATACATTTTCTTTGATGCAAGCTTATATTATTGACATACGTTATCCTCCAAGTCTCTTACAATGAGTATCTACCACTATCCACTTTGAGTGTATTATGAGCTCAGGGAAAATAGGTAGAGTGATAGCAATTGAGTATAAGGAAAAATCCTTGAACTAAAAAAAAAATTTTAAAGAACAAGATTTAATAAGTGCATTTTACCCACTCAGTTGTTTGCTTAAATCCCACTGAAATGTGATTTTATCTATTTTTATTAAATGAATCACATAGCAAAATAAAATTATTCTGAAATAGAATGCTAGCTTTATAAATCATAAAGCTTATCTGTGTCAGTAGCTCCAAAAGAGTCTCTGGAAAAATCCCATTCAATTTATAGAAAAAGCTGAATCTCTCATTCTCAGTACTAGTTCCATCCTTAACCCACCAAAATCCCATGCCCTGTTTGTATAGAACGTGTTCAGTTAGACCAGCCTGCCATTAGGAAATGACCAGGGGTGCAAATCTGTGCAGTATAATGTAAGGCTTTAACTCCACATTAGTTTTTGCTGCCAAATAAACATGGTCATTCTTCTGACTGCTTTTCTTTAAACCTAAAATGAAGCAAATTGATGAAGTTAGTCCAGTACCTGATGTTATAAGATTCTTCAAAAACATGAAAATAAATGAGATCCTGCTGGTAATCTCAGCAGAGAACTCACTGACTGAGTACTACTGAGCTGTAATCAAAGTACTGGACACAGCTGTCTAAATTGAGGCTGCACTATTTTCAAGTGCCGATCAGATGCACCCATTCCTGACACTTCAGTTAAAGGTAGCTTTCTTTGTTCACCCATAGTGTCAATAAGGCTTTTGCACTGCCCTCCCTGAAACAACAAATTTCACTGCAGCATTTAACTACCTTCACTCTAAACAAAACATCCAGGTTTTCTAGAGTTAGGCAGTATAAAATTATCAACTGACTAAACACTGTATTAAACATACAGTCTCATTCTCCTGGTAGTTTTAACCATTCACAAGAAGGGACATTAAGAAAAAAGCAATACATGTTTTTCATAATTGGGGGCTTCAGAATTACCAAAAGACCAAAGTCCTACTGTCTCAAGATTATACCCAAGACAAATGAAGCATTCTATCCATTTACAGCTTCACAAACAGCAGAATAAGATTTACCTCTGGAAAGATTTCTATTAACTCTCCTAAGAGCTGGAGCATAGTCATAATGAAAAAAAAAAGTCATCTATATGTTGAAACAAATATGTCATCATTTACTTAGATTTCAGTAAAGCTTTTGACTCCGTCTCACATGAGATTCTCTAACAAACTGGAAAGTACTGGACCAGTCTACAGTGAGGTGGGTGGACAACTGGCTCAGAGGCCAGAGTGGTAATTGATGGGATGACCTCATCCTGGAGGGCAGTCTCCAGTGGGGTCCCCCAGGGACCAGTGCTTGGACCCATGCTATTTAATATTTTCATTATCGATTTGGATGAAGGGGTAGAAAGCACATTGATTAAGTTTGCAGATGATACCAAACTGTGGGGAAATGCGGGCATACCAGAGGATAGGGAAAAGATCCAAGAGGACCTTGATAGACTGGACTTATGGACAGCACAAAATCAGATGAGGTTCAACAAGGAGAAGTTAAAGGTCCTTCACCTGGGTAGGAAGAACCCTCACCACAAATATACAATGGGTCGTAGCTGGCAAACATCTGAAAGAGACCTGGGGGTCACGATCAACTGGAAGATGAATATGACCCAACAGTGTGATAAGGCTGCCAAAAGGGCCAATAAAACTCTGGCGTGCATCAGCCACTGTGTGGCCAATAGATCCAGGGAGGCACTCCTCCCTCTCTATTCAGCATTGGTGAGGCCTCAGCTGGAGTACAGTGCCCAGTTCTGGGCACCACACTTCAAGAAGGACATAGATATGCTCAGGAGGGTACAAAGAAGGGCCACCCATTTGATTAAGGGCATGGAGGGTAGGCCCTTTGAGGAGAGACTCCAGGAACTGGGCCTGTTCAGCCTGAGGATGAGAAGACTGAGAGGTGACTTGATAGCTGCCTACAAGTACTTCAGGAGGGAGTATCAAGAGCTAGGAGAGCAACTATACAGGAGGGCACCTCAGGGGAGGACAAGGACCAATGGGCATAAACTTATAGAGGGTAAATTCAAGTTGAATATAAGGAAAAACTTCTTCTCTGTAAGGGCCACCAGAATCTGGAATACACTCCCAGCAGAGGTGGTGCAGTTGCCTACCTTGGAGGTGTTCAAGACTAGGCTGAACAGGCACCTTGCCAAGCTCATCTGAGCCCAATACTTCCTGCCCATAGCAGGGGACCTGACTTGATGATCGTACAGGTCCCTTCTGGTTCTTTGATTCTATGACTCTATTCTAAGTTGTATGTTCAAGGTTTTCCTTTGGATCTGAATCTAAATTAAAGATATATTTGTCAAATCAAAAAAAAAAAGATTTATTTGAAAAAATAGTTGCCTGTTAAATAACCTTTAATATGGCCCTGAAAAACATAAACATTTACTAATATTCATATTTTGTACAACTAAATAAGGGATATTTTGTGTCAGTATCAGAAGCACAATTGTAAATATATTGTTGTTCTCCACAATGGTTTCTATTGGCATTTGTCTAATTTGTTTTTAATAGTAATGCCAATCTTATGGAAAGTGCCAGAATTATTGAAAGCAAACATCTTGGCCTGTTAAGATTGCCAGACACTCAGAAACTCAAAGATTAGCTTTGAAAAAGGAGTCCTGTTGGCAGAAGGGAAATACACTTACCTAACTTCTGTGAACTTAGGAAAAGGAATTTGCATTTTGTTTCCCTTTGAGATTTGAGCTGGAGCCTTATTTTATCCAACCAGTTTACCTACTCCTAGAAATGACAAATACTAATTGAATGTGATGGAATGAACAAGTTATAATTCAGGTATCTAATTTTGACACACACGTATTTTTGTCACTTAATTTTCTGTACCTTTTGTTGTAGGTGGTTCAGTACATTTTGGTTAAATCTTACAATTGTTCAAGACAAAACCAAAAAAGTCTTCATCACAAAAGAGATTATCTTATTGACAAGTGAATATCACAGTGAAGTCAAGCCTGAGTAGTAATACAATATCTTTTTCCACAAGTACAAGAAATGAGGACTGACAGAGCTTCTGAAATAATAAGACTTTTAGGGCAGACAAGCATTCCATCATCAGAAAATATCAGTGCTCTCTCCTTGAACAGAACAGACTGTACACAGGTTGTGGTACCAGAAGAAGTCTTTTTCACAATTGCTGCTGTTGGAATACTGGAAAACCTACTTGTCCTTATAGCTGTGATCAGGAATAAGAATCTCCACTTGCCCATGTACTTTTTTATCTGCAGCTTAGCAGTTTCAGATATGCTGGGTAGTCTGTACAAAACTCTGGAAAATATCTTGATTATTTTATGCAAAATGGGGTATTTGAAGCCTCGTGGAGACTTTGAGACCAAGATGGATGATGTCATAGATTCCATGTTCATTCTTTCTTTACTGGGGTCAATATTCAGCTTGTTAACCATTGCAGCTGACAGATATATAACTATCTTCTATGCATTGCGATACCATAACATCATGACACTGAAGCGTGCATTAATCATCCTGGCAGCAATCTGGACCTTTTGTGCTGGAAGTGGCATTGCCATTGCCATTTTCTCCCATGAAACAGCTGTAGTAATTTCTTTCACTATCCTGTTCCCTTTGATGTTAATTTTTATATTATGCCTCTATATCCACATGTTTCTGCTTGCACGATCACATGCCAAAAAAATTGCTTCACTGCCTACTAGTACAGTTCACCAGAGAACAAACACGAAAGGGGCCATTACATTAACTATTTTCCTTGGTGTTTTTCTTTTCTGCTGGGCGCCCTTTGTTCTTCACATCCTTCTTATGCAGTTTTGCCCACACAATCCTTACTGTGCTTGTTACATGTCAATTTTTCAAGTGAATGGTACACTCATCTTGTGCAATGCTGTCATTGATCCTATGGTCTATGCATTCCGAAGTCCAGAATTATGGAGTACATTTAAGAAAATGTTCTGTTGTACCAGGTCAAATTGGAAGTAGTGCATTCTGATTTAAAATAAAGTCTATAAAATTAAGCCTACGGTGTAGTGCATAATGTTGATAAGAATAAGGTTTGGAGTTACAGCCACCAAAAAAGACCCCAATCCTGCTTAGATTTATGCATTTATTTAATTCTATGTCCTACAGATAATCTAATTGGCTTCAGAAGACCATTCAAACTGCAAAAAGTTAGTCAAGTGCATTAAGTCTTTGCCAGATCAGTGTTCAAGAAATATCATTTGTTATCATGATCTCTCTCATGCCATTTTTTAAAGAAAATTTAGTAATCCAGTCTAAAAGTGAGTGGACTTTAAGCACCTAATTAATTTCTAAAAGATACTAAACTAAATTTAATTCTAGTGAACTAATCTGCATCATTGCATGACAGATGAGTTTAAATTAATTCTTTTTGCTCAGTACTCTCAGGTCAAAAAGATTCATAACATTCTCCCAGTAAAATAAATAGAAAAAATAACTTTAAATATAGATTACAATTTTTTTCTAACCTGCACATTTCTAATCAGATAACATCCACTGATATTTCAACTAACGATGATTGATACCAGGAAAGGTGTTACATTAGACTTGCCCAGTTCATATGCTCTCCCTTTAAAACATCTACTATTTGCCATTATTGAAGACAGAATACTGGGCAAGATGGACCATTGATCTGACCCAGTATGGCTCTTTTGTTCTTATGTTCACTGTGAAGCAGTACACACAGGCACATGACTAGATTTTGTTGGACTTGGTCTCCCCCCTCTCTCTCTCTCTCTCTCCCTTTAGCTAATTTCAAAAGACACTGACCAGTTGGGTTTAAAGTAAAAAATGTCACTTGAAGATTATCCATAGTAGAAGGTATTTGGATTCTAAGGTATTTTTAGGCAAAGTTATATATATTTGAAAACAGGGATTTAGTATAAATGTATCTTTTAATTTTTAACTGCAGTATCATGTTGCTCTCGAATATTGTTTTGCTAAAGGTAGGAGATGGCTGCCATCAATCAAAGGCCTGCTAAAATTCACTTCTTTTGTACTAGATAGATTTTATATACATTTTTTAAAATAAGCAAGACTACATTTAAGACACCTAGCATATCATCTGTTTCTTCTCCTAATGAAAACCATGCATTAAAGCCCCAAAATGTTAACTGCTCAAGTCAAAGGTGGGCAACCTTGTTGTGAGGAGTGGGATAATTTATAGACAGAAATATCATGATGGAACAAGTAATGGAGGCACTTGCCAAACTCATAGATGGCCAAGTGGAATTAAAAAAAGAAATAGCACAAAAGATGGAGACTGCAAAAAAAAAAAAGATAGAGTAGCTGGAGATTTTAAAAGAAGAATCAAAGCAATCTCAAGAGATTCCCAGAAAGTTGTTTGCAACCAGACAGAAAATCACTATTGGGGAAGCAATAACAAATTTCCTGGGTAAGGTTGAAACTTAACTTCAAATTTCCTAATCTAGAATTATTAAAATAGATCTTTGAGGTGACTGGCAACATGTTTACCATGGACCAAAATGTTCTCCAAGATGTTTTGGCCACCTTGGGACACCCTAACAGCAACAACAAATTAATGAGTTAAAATAACAGCTGGAGAGGGAATTCACAGAATTACAGACCATGGAGGAAGTCCTAATCAGAGAACTTAGATAAAACAGGATATTAACAACAGTTTTTCAGCTTGCAATCTATAGAGACCATAAAGGACAAAGTTTAGTTCTCTCAGATCCAATAACCTACTACTTTTAAAAGAAACAATTCCTATTATGGAAATGTGTTTGGTTTACATCAAACTTGTAACCTAAATGAATGGCCAGAAAGATGAACAGCCGGAGTTCCAGCAGCTAACTTGATTGGCCAAGCTTTTACGAAAATGAAGAAAATAGGACAAGTCACCCAAATTTCGTACTAACACTTAATGTACAGCTCAGAGCCAGCCATCTGTCCAAGCTGTTCAAGACACACAAAAAAGGTAGGCCAAAGAAAAGAGAGAGGCCACCTGAATGGGCCGAGAAACTTCAGGAATCTTGCTTTCTTGACACATTCAGCTTCTATAATGGACCTTCAGAATAAATTTGCAATGAATAAATGTGTAGCTGGTCAGCTACATGTGGATGTACTTATCAAGATCAGAGAAAGAAGGCCAAAGACACTTCAATAGGTTATGGGATTTGCCATAGAATGTCAGCATTTTTCCTGAAGAACCCCAACAATAAAGGAAGCAGACACTAGTGAAGAAAATGAAATGTGATCACCATGCACTGTGTAAGTACAGATATATGTCTAATATGCATAATGGAAAATGGGTTTCTAATCTGATTGTTGGATTATTCTGATTCTATTCTGATTATTTTAACTTATTGGAAGAATTGTTAAATGTAGTTTGTAAAACATAGAAAATTGGTCAAAATTAAAAAAATGAAAGGATGGAGTTCTTTATAAATGCCATTACTTTGAAAAAATGTCTTTAAAAGAGAATTATAATTATAAATTTTAGGTGAGCCAGAAAAGTCAATCATCAGGCTAGAGTCCTTTACCCAGGTCAGGAAATGGGAGGACATTAAGCTAAAGGGGCAAGAAAAACCAAGGAACAACTTGAAGATATTTGTTTAAATTCATACTGTTAAACAGCAGAATGTACTAGGAGCTGTGAATTATACAGAGATAACTAACTCTGGTTCAAATGTAGTATACCTACAGACTACTTCCCCCATGCCTGTTCTGGGCTGATAGGGAACACCCAAAGGAACCATGCACAGAATGGAAACCTGCCCAACACTGCTGCTAAACCCAATTCCCACTATGCCTGGAAGAGACAGGAGCAGCTCTGGAGCCTCTCCTCACCCCCACCCTACAGAGCAGCTGGAGACAGCAGCAGCAGCATTGTGAGGGGAGGGGGAAGGAAAAGGGAAGGGAAGAGGAGATTCCACCGAACATGAAACAGAAGGGAGGGGAGATTCATACCCAATTTAGGGAATTTAAAAAATCCCTGTCTTCTGTTCTCATGGTTGCATTGACTGAAAGGGGGTGCATCCATGCCAATGCACACCACCAGAATCTTCTCTGCTTGGCATTATAAGAGATTTAGCAGAGATGCCTGATAATGAAACGATTACCTCCTGGTCTCTTGTCCAGGCATTTTCATTTCTCATAACCAAGCATCTCCTTTTTAACCTCCTTTAATAAAATACTCTTTAGAAACATCATTTTGAATCAGTCTTGAGGCATAATTTTTCAGGCAGCATAAATGCAGACAAAATATGTTCTCCTGGTGTCTCTACTATAGCTCCTTATGCTTCAAAATAATTAGAGCATATAACTATCTATCAACACATCACGTATCCATCATTCAGCAGTTCTTTGATATAACATCTGTTGAAATACCACTTTTATAGGGAAGATACAATTACAAGTTTCTTACTTGAAGAGGGTAATTTGCAGTACAGATCTAGAAAAATAGGAGAGAAATCATTAAAGATAATTTCTTTCCATGTCCAGTTGAAAGCAACTTTCAAACAGCCTTTTTTATCTCTGACTCCCCCCAGATTATTGTTCTAACACCACGTTCACAAGCTAGAACTCCAGCATATGGCATATGAACCCCCTATACCTTTTAAAAGCAGGAACGGTATGTGTATTCATTTTTAAGAGCTGGTTTTCTAAGAATCATCCTTGAAGGGAAGTTACACGTACCATTATCAACAGTGTAAATTCCATATGTAGCTCCCCAAAAAACAAACCAACAAATAAATTCCTAAACTAAATCCAATATCTCCATTAGATTTCTCTTAACCATTTAATCATCCAGTTTAATCCTAGTTATGATCACTGTGTGTTAGTATTACTGCCTTAAAAAATCCCAATGATTTCAGCAAAATGTAACAGTAACAAATTGTTCATAATTTAGACAATGCATTTGTAGAGGATGGTTTGGATAGGAATGATCCAGCCTCATGCTTAAGATTGAACTAGATGACCCCTGAGGTCCCTTCCAGGCATACTTTTCTATTATTCTATGCCAACAGAAACACTACTGATAACTGGAACCAGTATTCAGGCACTTGGACAATTTAAAAACATATGTATGCAACGGTTGTCATCCAGCACTACATCCAGATTGACTAGTGCCCCTCAAGTGATGTGTAGTGTTCTATAGAGGCAAAGTAGCTGTGAATCCAGCTTCCTTGACCAGTTAATATGGTTTAATGGATTATTTACATCACTGAAGAGGTGTCGAGCAACAAGAGAATGCGAGTGAATCTGGCCTTGAAATTCCTCTAATCAGCCTTTTCCATTTCAAGCAGTATCCTTAATAAAAACTAAAAGAAATCTTTAAATTATAGTAGCGGCGGTGATAGCACAATCATTGGCATACTGAAGTTCCACTTTCAAGGCCAAGGAATTTTGGTTTTGGCACAGAGGTAGGAGAAGTTGAAAAAGTTGCTGTCCTTCCTGTATGTCACCACGATGGGCAACGGGGCTCCCAGAGATCCCAGGAGCAGGGAGGGTTCCCCCCTTCCCCCAAAAAACCCCACCTGCTGGGGGAGCAAAGCCTGGTGCAGACGGAAGAGCCGCTTACCTTCTCCGCAGTGACCCTAGCCCAAGAAGCTGAGACACATGTGGCATTTCCAGCATGCTTTAAAGCATGCTCTCCCTGAGTGTGGAAGGTCACATTGCTTCTGATATCATAAAAAGGCATCCAGGGCACCAGCAAGCCCTGGAAAGCAGCGCAGGAGCCTGAACAGCATGGACTGCATTGAGCATCCCTGCATGCCCGGCAGTGCCCAGACAGGATGCTGGGAGAGCATGCACAAGCCGGCACGAGGGAGAGCCAAGAGCACTTCAACCCCAAACACCAGCAGCAGAAGCCAAGATTGGTGGCACCCACTGCAGGAGTAAGCCCACAGAACTGGACTTCAGACACATGAGTCCTAGTCCCTGGGTGGCACTACACCAGATGCCAGGCTATTTTGAGTTTCAGTCTTCTTTTATTT